AAATTTACGGGAAAATTTACAAGGTATTTAAAGGTTTACAAGTTTCAAGTGTTTTGGCGGAAAAAATTGCGGGATCACTTTTCCCGCCAAAAAATATTTTGTATTTTGTGGACCTAATTTTGTTATATTTCCTTATATATTTGTGATATATTTTAGGGTTTTGTGCAAAAAAACCCTCCAACTCGCCCATTTTTACAACTTTACCCTAGATCTCCGAAAAATGCAGATTAATACTACGAAGTCCCAAATAATGTGCAATATAACCCTTATTCGTATATTGTAAACGTTTTTTCGGTCACATACATTAGTTTTTTAAAATTCTAAAAGTAGAGTTGAACTTTTCATCGCGAGGGCTTCGATTTGATATATTATTTGTCAAAATTTTACGAACTTGACGGTAATGAATAAGGGTTATATTGCGCATTATTTGGGACTTCGTAGTATTAATCTCATTTTTCGAAGATGAAGGGTAAAGTTGCAAAAATGGGCGAGTTGGAGGGTTTTTTTTGCATAAAACCCTATATTTTATTAAAAGAAGGGTAATTTAGTCATTTTGTACATAAAAAGGGGTATTTTTAAAAATGGACAGCCAAATGGGGCATTTTTGAAAAGGGGTATTGAAAAGAGAAATTGTTAAAAATGCCCCTTTTGGTGTGTCCCTTTTCAAAAATGCCCCTTTTAGATGTCTATTTTCAAAAATGCCCTTTTTTAAATCTGAAAATTTTATAAAGTTTTATTAGGTTTATAAGGTACTTATGGATTGTAACTAGTACTTGAAGACTCGATCCAAGTATTTATAAGGTTTTATAAGGTGTTTTTAAAGGTTTTACAAGTTATTTTAAAGGATTGTTAAGGTTTTTCAAAGGTTTTACAAGATATTTTAAAGGTTTTTAAAGGTATTTAAAATGCATTTATAAGATATTTATAAAGTATTTATAAGATTTTAGATACATAGAAATGTAGTTTGTGTATGTTTTAATAATGTTACATACATATTTGGGTAAATCTTATATTTTTAAGAGCATTTTTTATAAGGTTTTAAAGAAGGGGCATTTTTGAAAGTGGCATTGAAAAAGGGGCATTTTTGCAAAAGCCCCTATTGAAAAAGAGGCATTTTTGTGAGTCTCCCTTCTATTATTACTATGTCCAAACTTCATTTTGTTGTATGACTAAATAATATTCCCATTAGAACTGTCAAAGCGAGTTGATTCGTCCCGTTAAGTCCGTTTTGCGATAGACAAAAAATATTTTGACTTGTCGTTAGTCGGTCCGCACAACCCGCGGGTAGCATATATGAAATACAAACCCGTCCCGCGAATGTATGCGGATTTGCGGGATTGTCCATGGATTTTGTTTAAATAATTTTAAAGTAACCAAAATTTAAAATACTACTAAAATAAATAAATAAATCAAAATACTATTAAAAGTTTGTTTAAATTACCACATGTTGAATAAATTATAATTTTATCAATAAATACTAATATGCGGGCTGATCCGCCAACCCGCGGATGAAAACCGATTAAACCTATGACCCACTGCGAATTAATCCATGTGGCCCGCTTATTTGCGGGTTTAATATATTTTCCCAAATCTGCCCTATAGTGAGATGATGTGGGCTCGACCCGCGGTTTTTGACCTATTTTGACTGCTCTAATTCTCATGAATCGTCTAATTTTAGAATTTTAAAACACAAAATTCTATTTTGTAAATCATAATTAATACGATGGGTATATTTATAAACAATTTTACATTTTCTCTACAATTCGTTATTATGAATATTTATAAGTATACTACACGATTCGTTCTACTAAAAAATATACACAATATTAAACGCAACGTATGTAAACCAATATTCTCCCGCGGTGGACCGCGGGTCCGATCCTAGTGAGAATATAATTACGAATACTATCATTCTTTTGTTGATTTTTTGAGAATAAATCTACATATGCTTTTGCTTTTTTCATATGTGTAATTCGTATTGCACTTGATATAGTCGAGGATTTTATATTAAACAAACCTAATTAATCGTGAAGAACTAGAACTTCATTGAATAAGTGTTCAAAACTTAATTGAGCTGCTGCTCATTCTGCTTCAGTTTCAAAAGCTCTTCATTGAGCTGCTGCTCATTCTGTTTCAGTTTCAAAAGCTCTTTATCGAGCTGCTGCTCATTCTGCTTCAGGTCCATCAACTGTTTGTGTATGTTCTCGTCTTTCGGGTGTACATACATCAGAGACCATGTTGTTGTTAGAAATCACATAAAAGCAGTAAACTTCCAAGCATAGACTACTCACTTGCAGTGGCGGAGATAAGATTGTTTTTAACCGGGGTCAAAAAAAATAATTAAGAAAATAGTTTATAATTCTAATAAAATTACCTAAGCAATAAGTATAATATTTTCTTAATATAGTGACAATTGATAAAGAGGCCCTAACTAACCGTATAAAAAATTTTAATCACGTCAAAGTTTCAAACAAAACTATAACAAACGAATCATATCACAAAATAATAAAAAAAGTTTTTTTTTTAAGTAAAGAAAGCATTACCTTGATTTAAAGAGGCCATAATTTTGTTCTGCAATAGAAAAGTGAATAGGCAAAGAAATTTGTTTATTGTTTTGTTTATTATTAGAAATATAATTTATGTGTATTTATTTATTAACCCATTTAAATCATTAAAAGCTGTATTAATTTTTGGATTTGATTTTAACTTGGTTTCAAATTTTTTTTAAATAATGGACTTTTAATGTATGTAAATTTGTTTTTGAGTGGGTCAATGGGGTCAAGAGATAAATTTAATTGGGTTCATTAGATTTAGGGTTAAAATATATAATAGTAGAATTTTAGAAATTAGTTGGGGTCAGCTGACCCCACTTACTCATAGGATGCCAGAGCTATTGTCTGTCATTGCCCAAACGATAAGCTATAGTTTTATCCAATTCTTTTTTTAATAACCGCGGGTCTCCCAAAGGCTTCCTAGGCCCAAGGACTAATCCCACGAGGCTGGCAATTCCCCTATGTAAACCTGCCAGTGGCCGTGCCTTGAACCCCGGTGGCGGAAGTCACAGCTGTGACCCCTTTACCACTAGGCCGCAAGGCCCGGTTAGTTTTATCCAATTCCCTATTACCAGGCAAGCAAATTAAATTTACTGCAACAGCACAAGATGAACAAGCATTGAATATATAGATAACTACCTTGATTTATTGTCCAGCTTCTTAAGGGTTCTCATAAATTCAACTCTACATCAAAAAGAGAACACAAAGGGATTATCAAAACTCAACGTAATTAAGTAAGCTTTACTTAATCGGATAATATTGTTTGGTAAAGAAAAAGAGGAAGCACCTGACTAATAGTTCCTCGTTCTTGGTAAAGGCAAACATCAAGCCATCCAAGAGAAAATCAGGATTTCAAAAGATGATCAGTCATATATAAGCACTACCAACCCTTAGCAGTAGTACAAGTTATAAAAACGGTGTGCAAGCAAACCATTTCATTTCAGAGAAAGGGTTTAAGAATACCTTCAAAGAATCCTCTTCATAGTCTAAAAGATGAGCAATCGTATTTTCTGTGTAAAGAGCCAACCATGCCTGCAAATAAGTAGAGTTAGTTCGTTTCCATGAAACAATTCGTCAAATTAAGCACACGCTACACCAAAAATAAAAGAAACCAGTGGATTAAGGAGAAACAAACCTCTTTTGAAAGATCATAGCAGCGTCCTTCAATCCGGATTGATCAACTCTTTTGCAGCTGAAATCCTCCTTCTCTGCAATTTCTTTGATACATTTGAGAGCTGCGTTCGCTCCTTCTAGTCCATATTTAAGACAAGTGATCTGATTCTCCAATCCAGCTGCTTTGCACTTGATAAGAACATATACATCACCCATATAATCAGAACAATATTTCTCTAATTACAATGATTATGAAGATCAAACCATCACGATCGAATTTTTGCTAAATGAGTTATGCTTCTGCAACGTTACGTGGTTTTTTTAAGCAATCTTTGAGACATTGAAAGAAGGAGAAAAGTAGTTAATCAACGTTACGTACATATATGTTCTCTTGTATGTAATCTACATAAAATAGTTAAACACATAGTCAATCCACAAAACTCGGTATCTTCATAAATTATATTTGAAGATAAGTTTGGGTGTTTTGGAATTCTAATTTGAAATAGTTTGTTTTAGTTAAACACGTTATCTGTAGAGCTCGTCAGTGTTTTTGTTCTAGGACAAACAGTCACTCTAATGATGAAATAGTTTGTTTCAGGAAAAATACCATAAAAAGTTGTAACAATTTTCCAACTTTTCTAATTATGTTACAAGTGACTCCTTTGTTATTATGATCAAACCCTATATATCGAGTATATATTCTTGATTGGACCAAATCAGATAAGCTTAACTATAATTCCTTTGATTCTTTATTTATTTCTTCATTTATCTATTTACTAAAATCTTTTAGTTTAATGGGAATTACTGGATTATAGCTTGGCGTTGGAAACTTTTTTTTTTTTAAATAGTATAATAAACATATATTGAAAACGTTAAATTCACTTGTTTTTTTCTTCCTTAAGTCGACGTGAGAACAAAGCTATACAAGTCTAGAACGCGACATGACATTTACATATATAATCTAGCAAGAAACCTGCTTACCTATATAATCTATAAGTGATTTATGTCTATGGTTTTAGTTGTCTCCTCTGGAGGCGGAGTCTGGGAGTTTGAAGGTGGGGCGTTTATCCACGCCTCTTCGCGAGTATTCCCTCCATCTCCTGGCTGCTGCTGCGGCTCGCTGTGCTCGTTCTTGTACTTCTTCCTCTGTCACATCACATACATCGAAATGAGTATATATGTATTTTATGATCATTAGCCAAAGAGGAAGAGAGTTTACAATCATCAGTCTTACCGCTTTTCTGGTAATCATTCTGTTTGCCCCAGAGGTTATCCCAATAGGAAGGTGTTTCGTCTGTGTTTTTCCTCTTCATCATTCTGCTTCTAGCTTGATTCTGAAACATAGGTATCAGCACGAGGTGATGTTATGTTCATCTAAAAGATTGAATATAGTTTTGCAAGGATTTCTAAGGTGATGATAGTTCATACCAAAACTTTTGCTTGCCTCTTTTCCCATCGAGATCTCGCCTGAAACAGGATTCAAAGATTGATCAGTTAGATGAGAAATAAAGAACAATAGGCTATCTTGTTTCACAAAGGAAGAAAACATGGGCCAAATGGGAATAAAAAGACTAAGGAATAGAAGGAAAAAGACTGTGAACAGTTCAGCTCTTTTCAGCTACCGAACCAAGCGGTTTTGTTTCCTTCTTACCATTCTGAAAACATCAACTGCTCCTGATCCCATTCCAGAAAGCATCAGAGCAACCTGATCAATCAATGACAATCCCAAGAGCTTAAGTGCATGCAGCATTTTAGCAACAAATATATAATCAAGAAACCTTGGCAATGTCTTGTTTTTCTTTTCAATGAACAATAAGATAACAAGAGAAATGCTTGTCTTACATTCACTCTTTCGACCCTTCGCATTTCATCTTCAAGCAGTGACAACTGTGCAGCAGAAGTCTGATGGATACAATCAACCGGGCTGAAATCAAAACAAAAAAGCATCTCCAAATCAGTTCTCTGAAATTGCCGACCAGGAGTATTATTATACTCCACAATCAGTTGCAGCATTTACTGAATATAAACCTACCAAGTTTCAACTGCTTGCTGAACTAAATCTGGGTTGCCACGCTGATTACAGGCCCTTGCTCTTCCAAAGTCTTCCTCAATTTTAAATATATCTGGAGCCACATTGGCACAATTTTTGCAGCCTGTTAAACAGAAATGCAGATGTAGTCACTTTCCAGATCATCAGAGCACTCAGCCTCAAATGAATTGCATTGAAGGAAATTCAAGAAAGAATACCTATACAAGCAAACTCATCAACAAAAACATGATCCCTTGGGGTGGAGTCATCAAGAAAAGGATTGATGGCAGTCACTGTATACCCATGGATTTCATCATAAACCATACGCTGTACAGGGTCACTGAGAATCTGCAATGCAACGGTAAATCGTTAAACGAAAAAACACATGGACCTTTACCAACGCTTACAAAATGTATATGGACGTCAAGTAAAAACTCACCTCATAGATATCGTTAATAAACATGCAGAAATTTGTAGTTTCTGGGTCATTGCCACTCAAGTCTGGATGGCAAGATTTCATACAGTTATAGTAAGCTTTCTTAATCTCCTCCTGTGTAGCATCTGGAAGCTATTGACATAGCAAAGGAGAGTGGTTAAAGTCACAATCTTTGAATCTTGATGATTGAAACCAGTCTAAGGCTTCACAATTTCGAGAAAGATGAATCTAGCTACAACGATATATTATACTGATGTACATCAAATTTGAAATGCAGAGTATTTTTGTATGATACACAAGAAATGAGGTTTCAATCATAAGCAAACCAAAAAATCATAACTTTAAAATCCCTATATGGAATTATCAAATCGGATTTGAATAGATTTGGTTCTTACCAGTCCGAGAACGGCATAGTAATCATCGGCGACATCACCAGTAGAAAGAGAAGAAGCATCCTCAGTTGCAACTCTCAATCTTCCGATGGAACCACTTCGCCTCCTTCCGGCGTAGCGAGGTAAGCCCCAAGATGAAGAAGCACCGGTGGTCTTCGCCGAGAACCGCGGCGACGTACCTGATCTGGAGCTAAGAATTGAGTTCTGGAACTTCAAAAGATCCGTACAAACAGGAGAAAGTATCTGCGCCATTGAAGAAGCTCACAAGATCCGGTACAATCCAATCCGACCCGATCCTGTTTCGATCGCTCAAATTAATTTCAAGTTCATTCGTAGGAGACGATGATTTTATTTGAATTATATATTTTATTATTTTCGTGAATAATTTAAGGCGTACGAGGGAGAAACGCTGACGTGGCAGGATAAGAACCAGAGAAGCTTATTTGGAATCCGAGATGAATCTAGCGGCGATCGGTGATCGGCGAAAGCGTGCTTAGCCGTCCGTGGCACGTGTCAGCTAATGGTTTTATGTGTCTCCCTCACGCTTCAACTACCCGCCAGAATTTATATTTCTTTGCTTATCCTCACACGATATTAAATAGCCAAAAATGCATGTACTTCAAGGATTAAATTTCGATTTTTGGTTTCATTAACTGTAATTTTGTAGATAGGTAAATTTTAACACATAAGATTTAGAGGTAAACAAAACTGAGACAAGTGTTTTCTAAAATAGAAGGAAGAGTTTCGAGGACTTTTTTAGCCAGTGATGTTCTGGGACTTGTTGAGAATGACTCCTTCGTATTTCACTTGGAACCATTTCATTGCATCGTCTTTAGTTACTCTGTGTTGGATACCAACACGAGCCTTGCATCTTCTGCGACGTGCCACACGGTAACCAGGACGTTCAAGGACTACATAGAAGTCCATACCGTAGATTCCAGTTGATGGATCGTACCTTTAAAACAAAGGTCAATGAGTATCACCAAGAACGTGGCAAACCCAAGTGTTTTGACAGGACGATTAGAGGATTGACTTACTTGATACCCAAATCAATGTGTTCTTGAATACCAAAACCGAAGCAACCAGTGTCACTGAAGTTTCTTCTGAGAAGTTCGTATTCCTTGACTTTCAATCCACTTTCAAGTAGTTGCATTGCCTTCTCACCTCTGACAGTAACATAGCATGCGATCTTCTCGTTACGTCTGGTACCAAAAGAACGAACAGTGTATCTAGCTGCAAAAGAAGCCACACAAAACAACCGTTCTTGAAATATGCATTGGAAGAAGCTAATCCAAATTATGTCTCTCAGAGCAAACCAAAAGAGAAACATAAAATGGTGATCACTAAAAACCCAATTAGATGAAGAGAGTGCACAATGCAACTACCTCAAAATCCAGGAGAGGGGAAACGAACAACTCAACTAAATTCATCCTAATTATCACAAACTACAAAACAAGGGACTAATCGTATTCCTAAATCTCAAATTCATCATCAAAACATGCACCCATTCATTGTCTTAAAAACTTCCAAGAGTGTTCTTTTTCCAGTAATGAACTATGTTTCCCAGATTCTCCTAGATTACTAGTATATAATCAAAGCAGAGTATATCTGAGACTAAGGCTTTTAACTAGGAGAAAAATATTACCTTTGGAGAAAACAGGAGTCTGACCACTCAATTGTTCCAAAACCTGCAAAGTAAACACAAATCAAATTGAAAACCAGAAAAACGGGTAAACAACAGGAACCTTGGAAGCTCTGGTGAGACGATCTCCACTCTCACCAACGGAGATGTTGAGAACCAGCTTCTGCACTTTAATGTCCCTCATTGGGTTCGATAGCTTCTTCTCCGACGCCTGAAATTTCAAAAGTAAGGAAACCCTCAAATCTCTATCTATCCGCGACACATTACAAAATTATACAACGAAGAACTGAGACTTACCATTAGGGATTTGGGTTGCGAATTTATCACCGGCCGACGGGAAAGGAGAGACGGAGGTGGAAACGAAGGATCAGTCGGGGATTTAGAATTAAAACCCTAATTCTAAGTCAAAAGGACAGGACAGCGACTAAGTAAATGACAACTTTACCCTTAAATTTTCCAACAAGCCCACGCTACTCTCACGTGACTTCTTTCCCAAACAGACTACTTGAGTCCTTTTCTTCATCACTGTTCTTGCTTTACTCTTTCCTCAAGGAGCAATGGAGGAGATGAAGTCACTCCCTTGAATTGCTACAATTTCTTCGTCTCTTGTCTCAAACTTCCAAAACCCTAGTATTCTTTGGGGAGCTTTCTTTGGATTTAACGACTCTGTAGCAACTAGCCACTTTAGCAAGGTATGTTTTTTGCTCTGTTTCGTCTTTTTAATTTCTATGGGAATCAATGTGATTGAAGAGATACATGAAAAGTTTGTATTAGACTCTGCATTGGATGAAAAGAACGGACCTTTGAACTTAATTATCTCTGTTTAGTTACTGTTTCTAAGTCCAATTGCTGAAATTTCTTGTTTCGATCACTCTGTGTTTTAAGGTTTTTGGTATCAATGAATGCTAAAGATGTAATCAGCCGTCTACCAGATGAGCTTCTTGGGCGTATTCTGTCTTTTATCTCCACAAAAGAAGCTGTTTCAACGTCACTACTCTCTAAGAGGTGGAGGAATGTGTTTGTTTTGGTTTCCAATCTTGTCATTGATGATCGTCAATCTGTGCCTAAGACTAAGCAAAACCGGAGTGAGATTCACCAAAATTTCATGGCTTTCGTCGACAAATTGCTAGATCCGCAACGCGGTTCTTCTATAAAGAAGCTCACTCTAAAGAGTCATGTCGGTGTTCGAGGTGGCACTGACTCATCCCGCATTCAAACTTGGATTTGCAACGTTCTTGACCATGGTGTTGTGGATCTTGATATGTTCATCACTTTAAAAGGAAAATCTCCACCAGTGCCTTCGTTGATCTTCAAGAGCAAGACATTGGTTAAGCTGAGACTAGGACGTGGTTTTACAATCAAGCCTTCTCAGGATGTTTCTCTTCCTATGCTTAGGACATTATTTCTTGACTCGGTTAATTTTGTTGGAGGTCATAATGTTGTTGGAACTCTTATATCTCGTTGTCCTGTTCTCGAAGAATTGGTTGTTGAGGAGCGGCGATGTGTAGATTGGACTTGTTCTGTGTCTTCTACATCTCTAAAGAGACTACACATCCGATTTGATCGCAAGTTTACAAGTATTTCATTAGATGCTCCTAATCTTGTCTACTATAAACATTCTGGTTATGTTTTGGGTAAGTATCCAAATGTTAAGTTGGATTCCCTCATCGAAGCTAGACTCAATCTTCGGATGGATGAAAGAAGAATGCAGGGAGTTAGAAATGGAGACGGTAGCACTCCCGCTGATATAAGAAATCTCATCAATGGAATCAGAAATGTTAGAATCCTTCACTTATCTAGCCACACTCTAGAGGTAAGCCTCCTATATATATTCTTCTTTTCATATAACATTCTTCTTTTAGCTCATGGAGAATGAGAATCACTTGTGGCTTTTGATGATTTATTTCAAATTTTGTGTTATTGAGTGACAACAGACTAACACATTTTTTTTGTTGAAGCTGCTTTATTTTTCCTGTAAAGAAATGCCATTGTTCGACAGCCTTGTTAGTCTATCTATTGGGAATGACAAGGCAAGAGGATGGCAAATTCTGCCACTTCTGATCAAGAACTCTCCAAATCTAGAAACCCTCATCTTCATGGTATTTCATCATGACACACATACACAAACACATCCTAAACGACATAGATATCGGTAGGTCCTTAACCTTTCTTTTTCTTTGTTATGTTTCAGGGTCTCGATCACTACATAACAAACAAATGCGGGGATGCATGTGTTTGCTATGACACAGAGGAGAGCATAACGTCTTGCCTATCATCATCTCAAGTGAAGGTGCTGGAGATATTGAGCTATCAAGGAACGACAAGAGAGCTGAATCAAATGAAGCATTTCTTGGAGAAGTTACCGTGTCTTGAGCTGGTTAAAATTTGCACGGTAAACAACAGTAGTAACTTGCAAACCACCATGGAAATGAGGACTCTTATGATGCTTCCAAGAGCTTCATCAAAGTGCAAGATCCAAGTCATGGTTTTATCAAAAAAATAAATGATCCAAGTGATGTGATGAGTAGCAACACTTAACTCACTCGTAACTAAGTTTTATTATTTATGGATTTGAACGTGTGGCGATATATATGTGATGATATAAGTGTGACTTCATTGAATCAAGCAGAAAGTTTTTGTCATACATAGTTGTGTTCTCATCTTCTATCGTGAAACCTTTTCTTGTTCGAAATCTTTCAAACTCTCTGGCATATTCAGAAACAGTAATGTACTTGAAGCATCAAATAGCAGAAATTTTGTCATATATTGATATGCATATGCTTATATACATTCAAACCCCAAGTCTGGAACACATATATAAATATACATTCGTCAAAACCTAAACCTGACTTTCTCTTAATCAGAATCTTTCGACGTACCACTCTGTTCTCTACCGGTGGCGTAAAGATACCGGAGCCAAAGATCTGAAAGAAGTTGTGCTTCAGATCGGATTTGGGGGTTTTTGTGATCTCGGAGAAAACGGATTCCGTTTGTGATGAGCACCACGTCAATAGCAAGAGACGCAGGAGCTTCTTTCAAACGCTTCATGAATTGGATACACCTCGCGACCTCCGGAGAATTTTCATCACTCGCATACTTAGCCGCTCGTTGTGCAGCCTTGAACAACTCCAAGAACTCCTGCTTCTGCATCACTCTTCCTTTCTTGATCTCTCGCTCTCTTTGAATTTAAGGTTTCGAAGCAAGAAAATGAGAGAATTGATGTGTTTCTTGCCACGCAAGCTTGCCTATACATTTTTTTCTTTTATCTTTCTTGCCTATAATTTTGCTTTTGCATAAATTTTTGTATTAATTTTACAGAAGTGAAAATTTATCTTTCATGGAAATTTCATTTATGCATTTATAATGTTTTAAGATTCGAAGAAATTCTCAAACAATGAGATTACAAAATTTATGAATAAATATTAGTTTCTAGGATGGACGAAAGATTATTACTTACTGGATTTTCAAAATAAAATAAAAAATTACATGGCTTTATCAGTATCTTCTGAAGAAAAAAGGAAAATATATTAACAAACAGAGACGAAAAAAGGAAACTTCGGGCAGACTTGTAACAAAACCTATCTGGTCTTGGATTTGAGTCTAACTCTCTTACTCTTTATATAAACACACCAGAGAGGAACCATTCCAACAGTTTACCAATTTCTCTCCTCTTGCGTTGCTTTGAAACCCTAGTTACATCGAGAGAAAGAGAGAGTAAACACACACAAAAGACCGATCAAGAACAGAGAACGATGCAAAAACAAGAGTTCTTGGAGTTGTTCGATGCAGCACTTCGAGCGGCTAAGTCTGTGAAAGGTGTTAAGAATTCTCCAGAGGTATCGAGGTTTGTTGACGCCATGAATCGTTTGAAGGAAGCTCCTGAGTCACTTGCTTGTGACGTGGTCTGCACAACCTCCATGGGGAAGGGTTTGAGATTCTTCAAAGATCACAAAAACCCTCAAATTCGATCAGAAGGAAAGCTTCTTTGGGATCTTTGGACAAAGATTATTCACGCTTCAGGTAGAGAAAAGAGCCGTGATAGAGATACTCCGGTGAAGATTCCGACGGATTCAACAATAAAGAAGACTGGAGATTCAAAACGAGACAAAGTGCGTGAGATTCTACAAACATCTTTGGCTAAAGTTGCTACTGAGGTTGTTGACACAGAGATGAAGACACGAGTCACTGCTTGTGATCCTTGGGTTGTGGCTATATCAGTGGAATCTGCAATGTTTGAGAGGTTAGGTTGTTTCATGGGACCTCAAAAAGCAAAGTACCGGTCGATTCTGTTCAACATGGGAGATAGTAACAATCCAGATTTGAGGAGGAAAGTGTTAATTGGTGAGATCAATGGAGAGAGACTCGTGACAATGGAGAGACAAGAGATGGGGAGTGAGAAGATTCAGAAGGAAGTTCAAAGGATTAAAGAGAATGCAAGATTTAAGGAAGAGAGTCGAATGAAGATGCTTCAATCAGCAGATATGATCATGACTTAGTTAGCAGAGATTTAGTCATGAGTTCCACTATTGTATATAATCATTGTTCTTGTCATAACTCGAAATATTATTTGATTGTGATTTCAAATACGATGATTGGTTCAAGTTCATAATTTTGTTTCTTAATCTGCGTTTAAATGACTCTCTTGGCATGAGAAGGTTTCCATAGAAGAATACTAGACAATGACAACCACACAGTGAAGGTTTTGTCATAAACCAAATACAAAGACTTCACAGTCAACAGTAATTCAAAAGGAATTAGCAAAACCATAAGTACTACTCAACAGTCTTTTGTTTTTTTCTTCAGTTAAAATATGGCTTGGATCTTGCAGTTTGAAGAAGCTCTTGGAAGCTTCAAAAGATACTGTACATCGATGGGCACTTGGATGTTGTTTGCAGCACGAATTTTCACCAGCTCAAGAAATGGTAGCTTCATTAGGAAATACCTTAGTTGGTTCAGCTCTCTTGAAGTTCCTTGATAGAGAGATATCTCCAGCACCTTCACAGGAGATGATGACAGGCAAGACGGGATCTTCTCCATATAGCCAGAGCAAACACATGCATCCCCACAGTTTGTAGTTACGTAGTGCTCTAGACCCTGAAGCATAAAGGAGACAAAGTTATAGACATATTGGTATATATGGCGTTTAGGATGGGTCTGTATATGTCATGAGATACCTTGAAGACGAGTGTTTCAAGATTTGGAGAGTTCTTGATCAGAAGTGGCAGAATTTGCCATCCTTGCTTTTTGTCACTCGCGATAGATAGATAAACAAGGTTGTCGAACATGGGTAAATCTTGACCGGAGAAGTAAAACAGCTGCAACAAAACCAAATCAGCTCAAGTAATACAATATTTGAATCAGAACCTCAATAAGCAAACCCAATTCTGCCATCAGAATACTGTAACATAACAAAGATCTTTAGTGAAGTGAAGACTGACCTCAAGAGCATCACTAGTTAAGTGAAGGACCTTAACATTTTTGATACCAGTGATGAGATCCATCATGTCAGCAGGAACTAAATGAGCAGATCCATCCCTTAGTCTCCGTAATGGTTTGTCCTCCACCCAAAGATTGATTCTAGCTTCAACGAGGGAATCCAAGTTAACATTTGCATACTTGCTCCCAAATATGCACGAATGTTCCAAGTAGACGAGACTGGGAACATCAAGCGAAATGATGGGGATATTATAGAACCGGATGCGTAGTCTCTTTAGAGAAGGAGAAGAAACAGAACCACACCATTGTTTTTGTTTCCATCGCTGATCCTCAAGAACCAGTTCTTCAAGCAGAGGGCAACGAGGCAGAAGAGTTTCAAAGACATTATGATCTCCATCAAAATCAACAGTATCAAGACATAAAGTCTTAAGCATAGGAAGATAAACGTTCTCATGAGAAAGGTTGATTGTAAAACCACGTCCTAGTCTCAGCTTAACCAGTGTGTTACTCGTGAAGATCAACAAAGGCACAAGTTGAAATTTTCCTCTGAAAGTGATGAAGAGATCAAGATCCGTAACACCACCACGCGCAAGCACATTGCGTATCCAGCTCTGAATACGAGTTTTGTCTAGGACGTATTGATCATCATCGAGATGAATCTTTAAAGCGAGCTTCTTTATAGGAGACTTGGCTTTCCGATTGAACAAAGTCACCACAAAATCAATGAATTGTCTGGGATTTTCACGGCGGTCTTGTCTAGCATAAACAAGGTCAAGACTGGGAACAAAAACAAACACATCCCTCCACCTCGTAGAGAGTGATGACGTTAAAGCAGCCTCTTTTGTGGAGAGAAATGATAAGATGTGCTCAAGAACCTCATCCGGTAAAGAGCTGATTCTATCCATTATTACTCCAAAACCCCTAAACCACAGAATGAACAAAGCACGAAATTTTCAACAACTAGGCTCAGAAACAGAGTGGATAAGTTTCAAAGTTGCCCTCTTTTTGCTGTTCCATCCATTGCAGAGTACTATTGTCTGTTTTCGACCGAAAGAGAGATAGTGATCAAGCCATCGATGCCCAAAGAAAAGAGATACCTTGCTAATTGCAACAGCGGCGGCGAAAGCTCTTCAAATTCAATCTCAATTAGGGTTTTGGCTATCCGATAGAAGAGACGTCGAAAATGTAAAAATGATGCGGTGCAATTAATAAGTCTTTTGAGTATCAAAAAGACGCGCCGAGGCCGAGTCGTATGACAACTAACTAAAACGACGCCGAATCGTCTGGCTACTGATACGTCGCCGATTAAAAATATAAAACACTCGGGAATACGTACTTGGGCTTCTTTACATTCATTATGATGAGGCTAGAAGTCATAATTGTCACAACTTCGGTTATAGATTATTAAATTGATCAGTCTTATTTGATTCAACTAGATTTGAACCCGCGGTCACCGCGGGGCTATAATTTTTTTAAAAAAATCTAAATATAATTAGTTTTGTTTATTAATAGAGAGTATAATAAAATATTTCAACCTATTTTATAAATGTACCATCCATATATCTATATTAATAATTTTGAGTATATTAATTGTGTTTTAGGTTTAAATGGTATATCTATATATACACTTAAACGACATTTGGCTTTCTTCTTCTTCTTGCCTCAGTTTAGGAGAAAGATTTTTCTTGCGGTACACCGCGGAACTATTATTTTTTTTTAAAAAATTTCTCCTTAAACTTCCAAATCTAGATTTTACCACGCGGTACACCGCGGGTCAATTTTTTATAACTAAAAAATTATTTTGCAAAATTTTAAGTTGTATTTGTTTTGTTAATATTGTTTATTTTGTTTAGTGTTTCTAATTTTATAATTAAATTTTGATTTTTAATTCTAGGATTTCATCCATAGTATATTGTTTAATATTAATATTGATCTAAACCCGTTGCACCATATAACCCCGTCCCGTAAAATTAAACATCATTTGTTATTTTTTTTGAATAATATTTTTATCCACTACAGGTTGCAGGTTCATGCGGATAAGCCCGTAGAGAGTTGCAGGTTTGCGGATCCACCCGCCAAAAGAGAAGCTATCTTTTGAAACCCTTTGTTTTGTTTAGAGGTTTTAAGAAAATATGAATATCCCTAAAAAATAATTTTCATTATATGAAAAAAAGAAGTAGAAGAAATTGTAGTATCAATATTCCCGATTTTTACATCACTTTTTTTTTTTTGTCATCTGGATTTATTATTTATTGCAAATTCTGAGAACTGTTACAATTAATTTTTTTTTTGCAGATAAAAATCAGAAGTTAACTAAGTCGAGATTTTTAAAAAGATTGTGTAGAGATTTTTGGTAAATTGTTGAGAACATATTTGATTTCAGAATCTTTACTTAAATAGATAAAGAAAGATTTTGTAGAGACTTTTGCTAAATATATGAAAAATGAATTTCAATTAAAAATCTTTACTTAAATAAAACAAATCTAAATAATTAATGTTAGTGGCATGTCATTGTAAATACTTCTCAACTTCAGGATTTATTTGCTAATTGTGATCCAAAAATGTATATATAGATACCTACGAAAGAATTCTTTTATTAAGAGATTGCTATGAAGTTGTATTGGGAAAGAAACAAGGGGACAAAATTTATGATGTTCTTATTCAAGTGAAGGGCCTTTATGGGAAGTGGATGATAAGCTCTCAAACAACAAAAACAAAGGAGAAAAAGACTGAAGCCAATTCGATCAATTGAGCAATAGACTACCTTAGAGACAACATATCATAATGTTTCAAAGATTCAGCATTTGAAAAACAGTTTAATCAACCTTTCCGGGATAATTAAGATTTTTTATCTTTTGGAGTCTACTAGCTCACTTGAGCTGTAATTTGGTATGGAGATCCGCTGCTCTAGATAACGACTGTATCGATACCGGATAACCCTTTCCCATCTGCAAAAAGCAAATCTTTTAGGCTTAATGAAATCCAAAAATGTTTCTACAAGGAGACGTTGGGTTTGATTTGTAAGCTTACCGTACTGCATAAGTGGAATGCATTCACATAACCAGCATATTTTGAAGCTGCAGAAAAATATAAAGAGTAAGGCACTCTAATCAGCCAACCAATCATCTCTCAACCAAAAGTTATAAGTTCCCGGTATGACTTACTCTTTTTCAATCCGGCAGGCTTTGCCAGCAATAGTGCATTCATAAACGCACCAACATTCTCTCGTAAAGCCTCTTCAGGAAAGCTCATCTGTTGGATGTTTTTAGGAAAGTAATCTTTGTTAAGAATGAAGCTAATGAAATTCAGATTAACTTCAAGTCTTTGGAAAGAGATGTCACCTTTCCAAGTGGCACATGAAGAATAGACGTTTTATCCATTCTAAATTTGGTATGTCCAGCTTTTGCATCTTTGACTGCTTTCGTAACATCCTTGGTCACACTACCTTGCTACAACAAATATAATATTTGTTCAAATTTATTTAAGGGCAAGAGGTAAGCATATTGACTGATACATTAGAGTAAGATGCTGAGTGAAAGAATCAAACTCACTTTGGGGTTTGGCATCAAACCGTGATTGTTAAGAATCCTTGATATCTGCAAATAAGCACAAACCATATGTATGTTATAAGAGAAGATATCGCCTCCACTATATTCCAAAGAATTTTGAATAAGTGCTCAAATCCAAGAACCTTGTAAACACGGGGCATCATTTTTGGAGTTGCAAGACATCTATCAAAGTCGATCTTGCCGCTTTCTGCAGATGGAGTTAAGTACAGATAAATAATCTAACATTGGAACAAAATTCGACAAACAAAAAGATTGCTCAAGAAATGAGATAAGTTATGGCAGAGCCAAATGCAAGCATGTTCAATTAGATGTCAGAAGTGAATTATCGAAGGAGGATGAAGTCATATGCATTGGTTCATTACTCAAGATTTCTTCAATAAGTTCAAGACCACCAACGACATCAGCTCCTGCAGCTTTTGCATCCTCTGCATCAGCTCCCTCGGCAAAGAAAGCCACTTTCACATCCTGAACAAGGAAGATCATTTCTTGTATTATATTAGTGGCTGGTAAATAGAAATTCCCATCATGGATTAGAATGACATTCTTTTACCTTCTTAACAGAGTGGGGTAGAGCCAAAGTACCACGAACTATCTGAAGTTTAAACAGTGATAACAGTCAGTCTAGAGTTAAAGCCAGGGAGACAATTGTTTTCAGAATAAATGATTAGGGGTAATCAATCAAAATGCTAAGAATGCGATCTTTAATTAAGAATAAGATAGAGAAATTAATGTATTTCCAGAGAAAAGAAATGCATCACATACCAGCTCAGATCTTCCTTTTTCAATGCCCAATCTCACATGCGCCTCAAGAGTTTCATCAAATTTCGCCTTGGCATTGGCCTGAACCATCAATAAAAACAGCATCAGAATGAAAACCATACGAATAAAAGGGATGCACAAAATTGATTAGTCCATGTTTACGTTGAAGCACTCTGTCCTCCCTCACTCTACTTGAAAATCAACACAGTAACATCTATTACCAGTTTACAGAATTCACAACTCTCTCAGTACCACTAAACAAAACTTGCATGATCTATTACTTATTTGAAGTAACCTAAGTATAAAACAAGTGAGAGTTTAGCCCCATCTAAACTAATCCACAACGATTAACAAATCTTCCAAGACTCCTTATTTTCACATTATATAGTCAAATCACAAATGATCCTAATTATCGTAGCTTCCTCTATATAGTCTCCTAGCTACGAAACAAGAAAAAGTTTGATACTTTGAATCATTTGCCACAAAAAAAGATTCATGGAACCCTAGATAGTGTAGCTTCCATTCTATTACAATGGCAGCTCAATTGAGAATCAAGCATGTGGGTAAATGAATCCTGACCTTAATCTCTCTAATGGCTTCCATGAGATCGAAAATAGGTTTCTTTCCATGCTTCAGCTCTGGTTTAAGCAAAGTTGGCAAAGGAAGTGAAGAAGTATCTTCTTCAACAGCATTAGCTCTTAAAAACTTTCTTCTAGCTCGATTCTCTAATTCAATCCTCTTCCTTTCCCTCTCCATCTCCTCCGGAGTTCTTTCTCCTTCATTCTCACCGGCGACGCGATCCTCCGGAAGCGGAGCCACACGCTGAGCGTAAGAAACCGGATTGATCGAAGGAGAGTCTTTCACATATCGGATTTCTTCACGAGTCCAGTTCGATGATTCCGGAGACTGAAGGTTCTCCGTCGATTCAACATTTGTAGGTTCAGATTTCGGATCCTTGGGTTTGGCGGCGTATGATACTGGCTCGATTGTAACAGGCTTTTTGCGAGATTCGTTTGAATCGGATGATGAAGAGGAAGAGAAGAGTCTAGGGATTTGTTGAAATGGAGACGAAAAGGGTTTGATTAGACCTTGGCGGCGAGCTTGAGAGAGTAGAAGCTTCATAGCTGCCATTGTTGTTCACTCTGAGGTTTTCCGTGTGAAATGTGATTTTGTGGGTTTAAGAGGATTTCTAATTTTTAACTTTAAAGCTTTTTCTCTAAATGTTATAAAACTTGAGGGGCCAAAGATATAAATAAATTGAGCATAAAAAGAAAAAAACTCTTATTCACAACTACTAACCAAATCTTTTGTTCTCTCTCGAAAATTAAACTATAGTTTTGAAGATTTTAACGATCATTAGTCATGGTTTTTTCTTTTCTTCTTCTAATATTATTACAAGCTAACAACAGAGATTATGAGAGTGAGGTCTTTTTGGAAGAGATCAAAAATGGCTGAGCTGTCCCAACAATAACTCGAACATGTCGTCGGGAGTTACAAGTGTCGTTCCTCCGATAACCAAGTTAATGTCCGGTCTTCCGCTCTCCGACACAGCCTCTTGAGCTTCCAAAACCTTAACAATGGAGGAAACATAGACAGTTATTAATGAGATAGTCCTAAAACCGGTGAATGCTAGGTCACTTTTGTGGTGAGGAAACTCACCTCTCGGCCATTGATACCTCCAATGACAAAGACAAGAATGACACTCTGGTCTGCGAGGCTTGGTCTTGCCTGCAATAGTATTATCAAACATTAATATCTCTCTTGTGGAGGATGGGGAAAAATGAAAGTAATGGGTAGAGAGAAAGGTTTAACTAACCTGACCAAGACCAAACCTTCCAAACCCGCTTTTAATAAACCTTCCGACAGTTGAAGAATGATATTCTAAACCGGGTATCTCTTGTTTGCTCAACACTTT